AATATAAGATGGATGGTACTTGGGAGAAAAAGTGGGAAAATTCTCCAACTTAGCTACTTATATCATAACCGAATGGGGGGATGACTTGATTTAGAGACTTAAGCATAACTTGACACTTGGAGTAACACAAGGCATACTTAGGTGACTAATCACCTAATTAAACCACACAATGACACGTATTAAGGAGGCTTAAGAGTGAAGGGAATTAATTTCCCACTCAATTTCTTTACTTACGGCATTTGAAATATAATTGCACCATATGGTACGGCTTTAAGCTTTGATATGTGATTAATTTGCTAATTAATCACTTAATCATGTTTAATTATTAATTTAAATATAATGCTTAATTACCAAAATTATTCCGGACGTAAACGGTACGTCGAAAATAATTTCCGGCTTTAACAAGCGAGTCCTACGAATGCCAAAGCTGTTTATTTTATTTTTTTTTATTAAGGTCATCGGATTTCCCTTTTAGTCTTCGTAGATCAGGTCTGCTCTTCTGGTTCATTCCATCGATCGGACTCTCATTTCCGGCGGATGCGTCTCGAGTATTTCGACTGAACTGACTGAAATAATTAATTTCGAAAATAATATTCGAACATATTATTATTCTCGGAACTAAAAACATGATTAACATGACGGGATATCGCTGACAAAATAATTAATTCCGGACTCAATAATTAATTAAATGAATCGGAATTAAATCTGGAACTTATCCGGTTTACTGAAATAATTAAACCGAATAACATATATCGACTAATATTCGAACTTGGAATATGACTAGCTGATTGTCCTGAACTTGAACATGAACCTGATTATTTATTAACAAAGGCTAGCTTAAAACTAAAAGCTAGTATTTTCCTTTATTAATAAAATACGGGGCTTTACAATCCATCCCCCTTAAAATATTTCCGTCCTCGGAAATAATAAAGCTGGAATGTACAAGCTTAACTTAAAGCTTAGACTTACTGATTACATGAACTGAGAATTCAGTATTTTAATACTGAATAATAGACTTGATCTGAACTGAAGATACATCAATTCACCATTAAGTGAATTGTGGAATACTGCTGACTGAGAATGGACACTTTCTAAAATAAAGTGTTCCACTGATAAAACATGATCTCAAAACGAAACTCTGAAGCGTATTGGTCATCATCTCCTGACTGTTGGTTGATCTCCAGTCTGAACGCTGGTTGTGAAGACTCCCGTCGTTGGTACACACGGAAGATTCCAGAGATACACATATGTACAAGTGAGGATAACAAGCTATATTGGTAATTACCTTTCATGAATGTCTGCTCGACAACACGGCACATCGTTCGCGGCACATTGTAATGCGGCACACCTGCTCCTCATCAAGTGAGTGCGGCACGCCTGCATACAGTACCTGGCGAACATTGCACCTGCACCGTCGACGTAATTTGATCATATTTATACCTAAAGCTAGTAACCTCAATGTACTTTAATACTAACTCTCTGTAATCTCCCAGTGTACTGAGACTCAAGCATGGCACCTTTGAATGGAAAGCGTCGGTTTGTCATCATGGCACGATCTGTTGCTATCAATTGGCCCTTCTTCGTCGCGGCGTATTTCAACTTGTGGTACCTGCAACTGTTTACTTCCTCCGAGGTTAAACTTAACCTCAAAAAGAAGTCCATCCTGAATGAATATCTCCCCCGATTTCTCAAATTCTTCAGAATTTGAGACTCGAGGCGCTAACATACTGAAAATGATAGATAAGTCTTGTCTTACTTAGACAGACTATCCTCGATCTTGACATGACTCACTTGAATATTCACATAACTGAATAATCATGACTTGACTCTTACATGACTGAATCATCTTTGTCTGAACTCTGAAAGCTATCCCGAGACAACTTAGTAGTCGCTTCGGGATTGAAAACATGATATTTACTGACTTACTTGACTTGATAAGGTACGACTTCAAGTTTCCAGGTAAATTTGGACTAATGGTCTGTATATCAGACCGCCACATTTAACCCGGCTGAATAACTATTATACGTCGACCTTACATCATGAACATAAACTGTAAATCGTGAACATGAATTCATAACTCTGTACGGTATAGGGCTGTTCCAGTATCAACTGGTCCCGCAAGTACAAAGTAATTAGCTGATCTTGATCTTGAAAATCGTAACTTGAAATATCATGACTGATAAAATATCTGACATGACTGACTTGAAAAGTTGTTATTACATGAAATCATACTGCTCCGGTTTCAGCTTCAAGCCTACACGGTATACCCGGCTGAATGGCTATTATTTCAAGCCTCCATGGTAACCCGGACTATTGGCTCTTATACACTGGAAACCGTTACCTTAGCAATGACTTGAGAATTATAACAACC